GAGGAGGAGGAGGATGATGAGGAACAGGACGAGGAGGAGGAAGGGAAGGAGGAAGAGGAGGAGGAGGAGGAGGAGGAGGAGGAGGAGGAGGAGGAGGAGGAGGGGGCGGGGGCGGTTGAGGGGGGGGGGTGAGGGGGAGATGGATGGGGATGATGATGATGATGATGATGATGATGACGATGATGATGATGATGATGATGATGATGATGATGATGATGATGATGATGATGATAATGATGATACTGATGATGATGATGATGCTGATGATGATGATGATGCTGATGCTGATGATGCTGCTGATGATGCTCATGGGGATGATGATGATGATGATGGTGATGCTGATGATGACGATGATGCTGATGATGATGTTGATTATGATGATTATGCTGCTCAGTATGATGAGGATGATGCTGATGATGATGCTGACGATGCTCATGTTTTTGTTGATGCTGATGCTGCTGCTGCTGCTGATGATGATGATGATGATGCTGCTGATGATGATGAGGCTGGTGATGATGATGATGATGATGATGATGATGATGATGATGATGATGATGCTGATGCTCATGGTGCTGATGATGCTGTTGCTGATGATGATGATGATGCTGATGCTGATGCGGATGCTGATGATGATGATGATGCTGATGATGATGATGGTGATGATAATGATGAGGTTCATGATGCTGCTGGTGCTGCTGATGCTGGTTATGCTGATGTTGGTGATACTGCTGATGATGCTGCTGCTGATGATGATGCTGATGCTGATGCTGATGCTGATGATGATGCCGATGATGCTGATGATGATACCGCTGATGATGATGCTGATGATGTTGTTGATGATGATGATGCTGATGCTGATGATGCTGATGATGATGCTGATGATGATGATGCTGATGATGATGATGATACGATGATGATGATGATGATGATGATGCTGATGGTGATGATGGTGATGATGATGATGGTGGTGTTGATGCTAATGGTGCTGATGATGCTGCTGATGATGATGCTGATGATGATGCTGATGTTGATGCTGATGCTGATGATGATGATGATGAGGATGATGATGATGAGGATGATGATGCTGATGCTGATGCTGATGCTGATGCTGATGACGATGATGATGCTGATGATGGTGATGATGATGATGATGATGATGATGCTGATGATGATGATGATGATGATGATGATGATGATGATGATGATGATGATGATGATGATGATGATGATGATGATGATGATGATGATGATGATGATGATGATGATGATGATGATGATGATGCTGAGGAGGAGGAGGAGGCAGGAGGAGGAGGAGGAGGAGGAGGAGGAGGAGGACGAGGAGGAGGAGGAGGACGACGAGGAGGACGAGGAGGGAGGAGGAGGAGGAGGAGGAGGAGGATGAGGAGGAGGAGGCAGGAGCAGGAGGAGGAGGAGGAGGAGGAGGAGGAGGAGGAGGAGGAGGAGGAGGATGAGGAGGAGGAGAGGAGGACGAGGAGGCGGAGATGGCGGAGGAGGAGGAGGAGGAGGGAGGAGGAGGAGGAGAGGAGGAGGAGGAGGAGGAGGAGGAGGAGGAGGAGAGGAGGAGGAAGGGGAGGAGGAGATGGCGGGAGGACAGGGAGGACGTGTAGGCGGAGGAGGTGGAGGAGAAGGAGGAGGAGGAGAAAGGAGGAGGAGGAGGAGGGGTCGAACGAGAAAGAGGAGGGAGTAGGAGGAGGAGGAGGAGGAGGAGGGAGGATGAGGAGGAGGAGAGGAGGAAGAGGAGGAGGAAGTTGAGCAAGTGGAGGCGGAGGAGGAGGAGCAGGGAGACGGAGGAGGAGGAGGAGGAGGAGGGGAGGAGGAGGAGAGGAGGCGAGGAGGGAGAGTAGGAGGAGGAGGAGGAGGAGGAGGAGGAGGAGGGTGAGGCGGAGGAGGGAGAGGACGATGATGATGAGGAGGAGGAATGAGGGGGAGGAGGAGGAGGGAGAGGGAGGAGGAGAGAGACGGAGAGTGATAGGGCGGAGGAGGAGGATGAGGAGGAGGAGGAGGAAGCGGAGGAGGATGAGGCGGAGGAGGAGGAGGAGGCGGAGGATGACGAGGAGGAGGAGGGGCGCATGATGATGATGCTGATGCTGATGATGTTGATGATATGATGCCGATGGAGATGAAGATGAAGCTTATGTTGTTGATGATGATGATGATGATGATGGTGCTGATGAGTATGATGATGATGCTGTTGATGATACTGATGATGATCTTGATGAGGAGGATGATGATGCTGATGCTGATGATGCAAACTTTTTTGATGATGATGCTGATTCTGCTGATGCTGATGATGATGATGATGATGATGAGGAGGATTCTGAGGATGATGATGAGGAAGAGGAGGATGGGGAAGATTAGGGGTAGAGGGAGGCGGCGGGGGAGGCGGATGAGGAGGATCAGGAGGAGGATGAGGACACGGATGCGGATGGGGATGGTGAACCGGTCAGTGTGCATGGTGATGATGATGCTGATGATGCTGATGATGCTGATGGTGATGATGCTGTTGTTGACGATGATGATTGGGTGGGCGATGCTGATGATGCTGTTGATGCTGTTGCTGCTGATGATGTTGATGACGATGTTGATGAGACGGCTGACGATGATGATGATGACGATGATAATGTTGATTTTGATGATGCTGATGATGACGGTGATGATCAAAGTACAATTGCATCTGACGATGCGTGTTCACATGATGCATATGCAGTTGATCATGCGGGTGATGATGTTGGCGTTGATGATGATGATGGTGATGCTGGTGGTTGCGATCGTGATGGTGATATGGTAGTGGTTGGAATGGTGGGAAGGCTGACGACGATCATGATGATGCCGATAGTGCTGATGGCGCTGATGGTGGTAGCAATTGTGATGATGATGGTGGCGATGATGATGGCTGGTGACGGTGGGGGTGATGCCGCTGGGGACGATGCTGTTGATGATGATGGTGCTGCCGATGATGGTGATGAGGATGTTGCTGATATTGCTGATGCGCATGATGATAATGATGGTGAAACGTATGCTGGTGATGATGATGATTGTGACGGGGATGGGGATGGTGACAGTGATGCTGCTGGCGAAGAATTGATGCTGAGGATCGTGGTCATGATGATGATGATGATGCTGGTGGTGTTGATGATGATGCTGATGATGATGGTGATGATGAGGATGATGTTTCTGGTGGTGGTGATGCTGACAATGTCGATGATGCTGATGCTGATGATGCTGATGATGATGCTGCTGATGATGGTGAGTGTGGTGGTGGTGATGTCGGTGCTGACGATGATGAGGATGATGATGCTGCTGATGATGATGATGATGGTAGTGTTGTAGATGATGATGATGATGATGATGATGATGATGATGATGATGATGATGATGATGATGATGATGATGATTATGATGCTGATGATGCTGATGACCCTGCTGATGATACGGATGATGAGGAGGAGGAGGAGAAGACTGGTGATACTGCGGAACATGCCGATGATGCCGCTGGGGATGGTGATGACAAGGTCGATGATTGTGATGAGTTCGTTGATTATTTTGCTGATGGTTACGATCATGATGTCGATTGTTATGGTGGTTGTGGCTATGATGTCGCTGATGATGGTGCTGACGATGATGATGCTGATGATGCTGCTGATGATGCTGATGATGATGCTGATGCTGATGCTGATGATGAGGATGATGATGAGGATGATAATGATACTGATGATACTGATGATGATGCTGATGATGATGATGATGATGAAGCAGAAGAAGAATATGTTAATGGTTTGTAGTGATTTCCCCCCCAAGACGTCGCGTGAAGGTCGTGTTGGTGGAAGCAGTCGCTTGGTAGATGGAGAGCAACGCTTAGACCTTCGGTCCATCCCGCCATCGTGCCTGGGTTGTGGGTCAGACTACTGGCGGTCCCAGGGGTCGTCTTGGGGCGGAGGGCTGGAACTGTACATCCCTTCTTAGGCACTTCATGGAGCCCTCTTTGGCCGCCTTGGGAGGCTCTGGCGCCGTCTTGGGCCCTCGTGGAGGCCTCTTGGGCTGACTTGAGGCGATCTTGCGGGCCCCTTGAGTCGTCTTCGAGAGTTCGAAGTCCGAAAAAACGTGAACGTTGAAATCCTTCAACTGCCTTAGGAAAAATCAATGAATGTTGCCTCTCGGGGTCCTCTTTGGGCCCTCTGGAAGCTGTTTCGAGGCCTCTGCCGTCAGGGGGCCATCCTCGGCATCTTGGGGTGCTCTTGGGCTGCCTCGGACCCTCCTGGGCTCCCTCCAGGCACTCTTGGGGTGCTCCATGGGGGCCCTGAACACGCACCCAGGAGTTCTGGCATCCGTTAAACGGACCGCCCGGGACTTGCCCAGGGCTTGCACGGTTACTTTTTTGGCGAGAGCCCTAGGGGCCGCCACGCGCGCGCGCGCGCGAAGTAGATACCAATTACAGGGCATACACCAGAGATGCTAGCACGCCTTTGGCCCGTCTGGGTCGGGGAATTATTCAATATGAGTAGTACCCCTTTTCTTCAAGAGGCTTCCGCCATTCCGCCGACCCTTGATACGGTCATGAACAGCACGAGAACTTCGACGATAATCAGAAGGAGAAGGAGAGGGAGGAGGAGAGAAGGAGGAGACGACGACATTGAGGTATTTTGGAAGAGGATTGAGTTCTGGTGCTGAGCAGTACTCCTCCTATTCCCCCGACAGCGTGCAGTGCAGTGGTGCCTCGGCCTCTGCTGCGTATTTTTGTCCTACGGTGTTCGACGACGACGATGATAATGTTTTTTCTAAATCAGAATGTCTGTGCTCCTCCAAAAGCGTTGCTCCCTCTGCAGCGTTGGCCATATTTCAAGATCGGGCTCTCGAGGCGCAGAGCGGCGCTTTCGCCCTGCGCGCGAGTCACATTTCCGGGTCCGGTTTCTTCCTCGTCGCTGCCGTCCCCCCCCCTTTCCTCTCCGCCTTCCCCTCGCCCTCCTGCCCCTCATGCTCCTGCTGCCCCTGCTCCTACTCCTTCCTTCCTCCGCTTCCTCCTGCTCATCCGCATCTTTCTTCTCCTCCTCCTTCTCTAATGTATAACCCCCCCTTTCCGGTTGCGCAGCAGGCGATGGGGCAACTCTTGCAGCCGCCATTTGGGAAGCCGTCCTCTTGGACGTCCCCGTCGGCGGACAGAAGGCGGATTCAACGCAGTGGGAAGGGATCGGTGGGAAGGGCAGGGCGTCCGCGGAGTCGTGAGCGCACCCCGCCTGCGCTCGCCCACTCTGTCCCCCCTGCCCCTCCTTTCTCCTGGCATTGCTCGGACGTGTGCATCTTTTCTCGGCGAGAACCATCGAGGACCATCCTGGGCCATCGAGCCAACAAAACACGCACGAAACCCACAAGTGCACGGGAAATGGACGTCCGAGCGACGGCAAGACTCTGTCCCCCCTGCCTCTCCTTCCTCCACCTCTGCCCATCCCCTCGCTCTGCTCGACGGTCGGTCTGCATGGCGTCTTCAGCGTTGGTGCACACCCCCGGCAGCGATGTCCTCTGGCGTCTTTTCGCGGATTCCCGAGCTCCGAGTGCCGAGCTCCGCCCTACGGTCAGGAACTGTGGCTCAGCGTGTCGCGCCGCCGGTTCTTGCCCACCACGCCGCGGCGCGGCACGCTGTCCACGACCCAGTCTCCGAGCGTCCACTTCCCGAGCCTTTCCGAGCCTCCCGTCCCGCGAAGCGGAGCGACACGCCATCCACTCGAACGGCATAGCGCGTCGCCGGGGCCGCCGCCGCGACACGCTGAGTAAAAGCTTCCGACCGTCGTTAACCCTACCCCCCTCCCTCTCTCCCCCCTCTCCCCTCGGCCTCCCCCTCCCCCTTCGCCCCTCCCCTCGCCCCTCCCTTCCTCCTCCTCCCCCTCGCCCCTCCCCATTTTACTTCCCTCATCTCGCCCCTCCACTCCTCCTTCTCCCCCTCCTCCCCTCGAGCGCGTTCAAGGGAGGGGCCGCCGAGCTCCGCAGCGAGCCGGGTTCCGTGATCGCTGTCCGCACCGAGCTGCTCTGCATCGGATGCTACAGCGGTGCCAAGCCAAGTGGCACCCATTGGCGAGCACCGTCCAGGAAGCGGTGGGAAGCCGATATCACGCAGTTTTTGACAGCGAAGATGCTTCTGGAACCTGGCAGCGGAAGATGGTGTACAGTAGCACGAGACAGCGACCAGTGGAACAACTTGGAGCAAGCATTCCTACGACACACACAGCATAGACCACAACTCCCACTTCTGTGACTGAGGGCCCCAGCCCGCCCGCGCCGGCCTTCCAGGCCCCGCCCCCCGGCGGACTCAGGCGCGCCTCGCCTCGCCTCGCCTCGCCTCGCCTCGCCTCGCCTCGCCTCGCCTCGCCTCGCCTCGCCTCGCCTCGTCCAGATCTAAGACTCGAACGGTCTCAATCGGGTTACCGTCGGTGGATGTTGTACCTTTGGTGTTGTGGAATGCGTCTCGCGCGTTGATTCACATCTATGCATATCGATAAGCCCCCGTTGGTGCCTCTGCAAGTCGTCTCTTCCCATCTTTCTCCCTCTCTCCTCCCTCATCCACCCTCTCTCCCGTTTCCTCCCGGCAGCCTCCCCCTCTTCCTCGGTGAGGTCCCCCCTTCCCTCACCGGCCTCCTATTCTGAGGTAAGATGGGGGAGGGGGATGATGAATGGATGGAGGGGGGGGAGGGGAGAGGAGTGGGAGCGGTGGGAGCAGGCCGCCGCTACGGGAGCGCCCGAAACCATGTTCAAGAACAGAGGGGCAGAGGAGGAGGAGGAGGAGGAGGAGGAGGAGGAGGAGGAGATGGATGATGGCAAAGGGGACTTCCCTCCCAGCCATTTCGCGCCTTCCCGAGGAGTTCTACGACCTCGAGCGCGATAGGCTCAAGATACCAGAGGACCGCCCCTGCGCCAGCGTTGGCACTGGGGAGAAGGAGGAGGAGGATGAGGAGGAGGAGGAGGCGCAGGAGGAGGAGGAGGTCGGTCAGGGGAAGGGGAATAGGGACGAGAATGAACGAATGATGATGACGATGCTGGTTATGATGATGATGATGATGATGATGATGATGATGATGATGATGATGATGATGATGTTGATGATGCTGCTGCTGATGATGATGCTATGATGATGGTGATGCTGATGCTGATGGCGATGATGTCGATGATGCCGATGATGCCGATGCTGCTGATGATGATGACGATGACGATAGCGACGATGCTGATGCTGATGATGATGACGATGCTGATGCCCATGATGATGCTGATGCTGATGCGCATGCTGCTGATGATACTTCTGATTATGCTAATTGTGTTGTTGATGATGTTGTGGAGGATGATGGTGATGCTGGTAACGATGGCGATGATGATGCTGACAAGGAATATAATGATGATGCTGCCGATGATGATGATGATGATGATGATGATGATGATGATGATGATGATGATGAGGATGATGACGAGGCTGATGATGATGATGATGATGATGATGATGATCATGATCATGGTGATGATGATGATGATGATTGCAATGATGACGATATTACCGATCTGATGAGTATGGCGATGATGATGATGCGGATGATGCTACAACTCATGATGATGATGCTGTGATAATGATGCTGCTGATGGTGATAACAATGATGATGCTGTTGATGCTGATGCTGATGATGCTGATGTTAATGATGATACTGACGATGGTGATAATGATACTGATGATGCTGATGATGATGATGCTGATGACGATTACGCTACTGTTGCTGATGCCGATGATGTTGATGATGGTGCTGCTGCTGATGATGCTGCTGATGATGATGATGATGATGATGATGATGATGATGTGGATGGTGGTGATGATGACGATGTGGATGGTGATGATAATGACGATGATCATGATGATGAGGATGATGATGCTGATGACGATGATGATGATCATGATCAGGATCATGAGACTGCTGATGATGATGTTGCTGATTTGGTTGGTGATGATGATGACGACGCTCATGGTGGTGGTGAGTCTGAAGTTGCTGTCTGTGATGATGGTTATGACCATGGAGGTCATGATGGCGATGATTATGATGACGATGGTCACGATGATGATGATCATAATGATGATCATGATGATGATGATGATGATGATGATGATGATGATGATGATGATGATGATGATGATTGGTGATGCAGAACATGATGATGATGAGGGTTATGATTATGATGATGAGTATGCTGATGACGATGATAACGATCATGATCAGGATCATGAGACTGCTGATGATGATGTTGCTGATGCTGGTCATGGTAATAATACTGATGATGATGCTGCTGATGCTGATGATTATGATGATGATGGTGATGATGCTGATGATGATGATGAATATGATGATGATGATGATGATGATGATGATGATGATGATGATGATGATGATGATGGTGATGATGCTGATGATGATGGTGATGATGCTGATGATGATGATGATGATGACGATGATGATGATGATGATGATGATGATGATGATGATGATGATGATGATGATGATGATGATGATGATGATGATGATGATGATTGTGGTGGTGGTGTTGGTGGTGGTGGTGTCGTCGACGTCGACGTCGACGCCGACGTCGTCGTCGTCGACGACGACGACGTCGACGACGACGACGCGAGTCCTCCTCGGCGCGCCGGCCGCTCTCCCCACACCACTGGCTGGGGCGAGTTGCGAGACTCGGGGGGGCTCTTAGGACGCACACCTATGGAGGATGGGAGCCCCCCCATCGCATGTCCCAGAGTGGGGCCCAGAATGCCCCCAGTTCCCGAGTGGCCCCGGAAGAAGCAGGTCTCTCAGGAAATGAGGGGGGAGTCGGGTATACGCCTTTAGGGGCCTCGTCGAACGCACCCCTATCGAGGATGGGAGCCGCCCCCCCCCCCCTCAACATCGCATGTCCCAGAGTGGGGCCCAAAACTTGTAGTCCCGTCGGAAAATTATCAAACACCCAATGTCGGGGATCGGGGGCGCCATACCCCTCGTTCCCTGACCTTCCAGGGGGGGCTAAACAATAGCACCAGAACCTCGACATCTGAATGCACGTCGAGGTTTTAGGCAGACCAGATCGGTCTATAGGTCTGGAGGGTTTTTTTATACCACTTTGGAAGGTTAGTGTTTCGCACCTACCCCGATCCTGGGCAGGCCGATTCGGGGCCCAGGGCTGGTGTGTGTATATGTGTATGCCCTCCAGCCCAGGTCAGGTGCGCGTATGCACCGATCCCAGGCCCCGAATCGGCATGGCCAGGATTCTCGTGGGCGGCAAAAAAGGGGGTGGTGACTAAGGGGGGGAGGAATATCATGGCGGGGGCCATGATCACTCCCCAGATTTCATGGCGCCTCTTCTTTTTTCAATGCGTCCCCCCCCTGGGCCGCGCACGTGCCGCCGGCCATGATTTGCGCCCCCCCCTCTTGGACGCCCCCCTCTTGGACGCCCCTGGCAAGCGACGGGGACCAATGCAAACGGGGTTCAGCTGGAGCGCCAGATCTTGCAGGATCCTGCCGAGCCAGGAGCGCACTGGCTGGGGCCAGGACGCAGCTTCCTGCAGGATCCTGCAGGATCTTGCAGGATTCTGCAAAGCCTGACTGACCCGGGTTTGGACTGACCCGCGTCAGTAGGCCCCCGAAGGATCGGTGCCAGTTGGCGTTCTCCTAAGTCCCTTCGAGGGGGGGAGGGGGGGGCTCGGGCGGACCTCCTGCCCCACCTCCTCGCAGGGGGGCTCGGTCCAGCGTGAAGCCGAAGCCACGGAGTGGACGATGGGGAGGAAGAGGTCGGGGAGCCAGGAGGAGAGCTGGATTGGGCCTGACTTGGTGCCAATCCTCAGCCAGAGCACAGACCGGCGAGCGGCAGAAAACTCGTCCAGCACCTGACACTCGCCTTTGGCGGGGTCGGGGTGCCAGTATCTCAACACTGATATGGCAAGCCGAAGCCATTTCAGCACCAGGAGGAGGAGGAGGAGGAGGAGGTGAAGGAAGAAGGAGGAACATAAAAGGAGGAGGAGGACGTGGCTGACGCTACGATCCCAGTCGATTTAAGTTTGCCTAGTAAAACTGTTCGCCAGCGTGGACCCCAGACAGTAGTTTCATGTAATCTACGCGGTGCAATCAAGGTGATGCAGTCAATGTTGTGCAATCTAGGTGGTGCACTTCAAATTGACTGTCGTGAAGCTGTCCTCTCCACTGCTCGTACAAACATCCCACCCTCCCATCCGCAACTTGGTCGCAAGACTTCTTAAGACCGTGACGGTGGGTACCAAATGGCACTTGGTAGCGACAGCGACGCCGACGACGACGACAGCGACGACGACAACGCCGACGACGCCAACGACGTCTACGACGACACCGACGACGTCTCCGACGACTTCGACGACGACGACAACGACGACGACGACGACGGCGACACCGACGACCACGACGACGATGACGACGCCGACGCCGACGACGACGACGGCGACGCCGACGATGACGGCGACGACGACGCCGACGACGAGGACGACGACGACAACGACGACGACGCAGACGACGACAACGACGTCGACGACGACGAAGACGACGACGACGACGACTTCGCCAACGACGACGACGACGAGGGAGGAGGGAGGAAGACGACGAAGACGACGACGACAACGACGAGGGAGGAGGGAGGACGGCGACGACGCGAACGACGAAGAAGGAGGGAGGACGGCGACGCCGACGACGACAACGACGAGTGAAGAGGGAAGACGACGACGACGACGACGACGACGACGGCGACGAAATAGGAGGGACGACGACAGGACTCCGACGACGGACGACGACGACGACGAGGGAGGAGGAACGACGACCGCGGTAACAACGACGACGGAAACGACGACGACGCCAAAGAGGACGACGACGAGAAAAGACAGAGGGCGACGACGGCGACGACGACGACGACGAGGGAGAATGGAGGACGGCGACGACGACGACGCAAGAGCACGCGCGCACGCTTTTGTTGAACATCCGTGTTTCGAAACGCCGTGTTTTTGTATGTTTTTTTGACGCTCGATTTTGACATCTTTCTGAAACCGAAGGTGGTTTTTGAAGGATTTCGGCATTCGCGCGCGACGACGCGCGCGCGTGCACTTCGTCACATTTTTTGCAGAGGATTCTCGCGACGGCATGCGCGCAAGGGTGTTCGAAAGATTTCGACATGCGCGCGCGCGAAACCCGTTTTGTCGCATTTTTTGAAAATCTGGTAAAACATATGGTTTCCTTAAGATTTCGCAAGAGCGCGCGTGTTTTTTTAGAAAAACAATTTCTTGACAATTTTTGCTTTCTGATAAGCGAGTGTGCGTATAGTTTTCTTGCAGAGGATGGCGGGGGGGTCGACAGCGCCCCCCCTGGGATAGTGTAAATTCATTTTTAGGATGGATATTGGGTCAGAATCCTATGTGTTTTGCATCGGTTCCCGGGGGGTCTTTGGGCCCGGGGGGGGGGGGGTAGAATTCATTTTCATTGTAGAAAGGAGAACCAACGCGATACAATACCTATGGGGTGCAACTACTGAGGTGCAATCAACGTGGCGCCAAGCGGTGCAAAGCACTCAAAGCGATGAAAGTCTATGCCAGGCAATGCAAAGCAATGCCAAGCAATGCAAAGCCACGCGACATAGTGCAAAGCAATGTAAAGCAATATGCGAAACAATGCGGCACAATGAAAACCATGCAGTGCGAAGCGTTGCAAAGGACAGCAACTCAATGCAATGCAACGCAATGCAAAGCAACGCAGCAATCCAACGCATGCAACGCAATACAAAGCAGCGCGCAGCAACGCAAAGCAATGCACAGCAATTGAACGCACCGCAAGGGTGTGCAGCGCGATGCAAATCAATGCAAACCGTTGCAATGCAAAGCAGTGCACAGCAAACACAGCAGTGCAGAGCAATGCGAGGCAAAGGAATGACATGTTCTGCGAAGCAGCGCAAAGAAATGCACACCGCTGCAAAGCAAAGCACAGCCATTCACAGCAATGCAAAACAGAACAATGCACTGCCAAGCAACACGCAGCAACGCATGACAATGCGAAGCAATGCCAAGTAATGCTCAGTAACGCGAAGCCGTGCGCACCGATGCACAGCAATGAGCAATACAAAACAACACAACGTAATGCAAAGCAATGCAACGCACTGCAGAGCACTGCGAAGAACTGTAAAGCAACGCTACGCAATACAAGTCGCTCCTCCATTCAGATTTTTTGCACGTCAACACTGGGAGTCCGTGGAACCTGTTGCACATGTTTATGGCGAATGTGCGTGGCGCTGAGGCGAGAGCCACATCTTGAAAACGGCCCGCCCTCAATCCGCTTGCTAATCTTGTAAGACGAATATACGTTGCGCTGAGGCGAGAGCCACATGTTGAAAACAACCCGCCCTCAATCCGTGAAACTACGCCTTTTAGGGACGAGTATGCGCGGTGCCAAAGCGAGAGCCACACGTTGAAAGTGACCCGGCCTCAATCCGTAAAACTCTTGCAAGTTTTCGCGACGAGTGTGTGCGGCCTTGAGGCGAGATCCACATTTTGAAATCGACCCACCCTCAATCCGTAAAACTCTTGTGATGTTTTGCGTCGAATGTGCGCGGTGCCAAGGCGAGAGCCACACTTTTGAAAACGACCCGCCCTCAATCCGTAAAACTCTTGCGATGTTGTGCGGCGAATGTGCACGGCGCCAAGGCGAGAGCCACATTTTGAAAACGACCTGCCCTCAATCCGTAAAACTCTGTCGATGTTTTGCGACGAGTGTGCGCGGCGCCAAGGCGAGATCCACATTTTGAAAACGACCCGCCCTCAATCCGTGAAGCTCGTTGCGAACTTTTGCGGCGAGTGTGCGCGGCGCCAAGGCGAGATCCACATTTTGAAAACGACCCGTCCTCAATCCGTGAAGCTCTTACGAAGTTGTAAATTCTTTACGCTTCGCGTATCCCCACCAGCCCATCTCAAAACAGCAACTCTTGCGAAGCATGCCGACAGTCGTGTTTTTCAGGCGTGTTTCCGCCTGCCCCCGCATATCTCCCCTGTTCCTCCTTCCTCCCGCCTCCTTGTACATCCTCCTTGTGGTGGGAGCGGGAGAAGGACGAGGCGGAGGAGGAGGGAGAGAAAGCGCTCCTCGTGGTTTGAGTCGTTTGGGGTTTCTCGTCCTGGTGTGAGTCGTTCGGGCCCTTCTTCCTGGTGTGAGTCGTTCGGGCTCTTCGTGGTGTGAGTCGTTCGGGCTCTTCGTCCTGGTGTGAGTCGTTCGGGCTTCTCGTGGTGTGAGTTGTTCGGGCCCCTCGTCCTGGTGTGAGTCGTTCGGGCCCCTCCTCCTGGTGTGACTCGTTCGGGCTCCTCGTGGTGTGAGTCGTTCGGGGCCCTCGTCGTGGTGTGAGTCGTTCGGGCTCCTCGTGGTGTGACGTGGTGTGAGTCGTTCGGGCCCCTCCTCCTGGTGTGACTCGTTCGGGCTCCTCGTGGTGTGAGTCGTTCGGGGCCCGCGTCTCGTTCCCTCGTGGTGTGAGTCGTTCGGGCGTCGTGGTGTGAGTCGTTCGGGCTCTCGTTTCCTGGTGGGAGTCGTTGGGGCCCCTCGTGTGAGTCGTTCGGCCCCATCGTCCTTGTGTGAGTCCTTCGGGCCCCTCTCCTGGTGTGAGTCGTTCGGGCTCCTCGTGGTGTGAGTCGTTCGGGCTCCTGTCGTGGTGTGAGTCGTTCGGGCCCCTCGGGTCTGGTGTGAGTCGTTCGGGCTCTTCGTGGTGTGAGTCGTTCGGGTCGTCCTGGTGTGAGTCGTTCGGGCTCCTCGTGGCGTGAGGCGTTCGGGCACCTCGTCCCCTTTTGGGGCGTCTTGGGGGCCTCTTGGCGGCCCCAGGGGCTTCTAGGAGCGTCTTGGGTGCCTTGGGGGAGCCTCTTCGGGCCTCTTGGGAGCCTCTTGGAGGCCGTTTGGGGCGTCTTGGGGGCCTCTTGGCGGCCCAGGGGCTTCCAGGAGCGTCTTGGGTGCCTCGGGGGAGCCTCTTGGGGCCTCTTGGGGGCCTCTTGGGGCATCTTGGGGGCCTCTTGGAGGCCTCTTGGGGGCCTCCTGGGGGCCTCTTGGGGCCATCTTGGGGCCTCTTGGTGCCTCCTGGGCGCTTCTTGGGGCCATCTTGGAGGAAATCGATCAAAGAAGAGGGGAGCTTTAATTAGCGCTGCCCCCTCAGAAGGGCAAAATGGGGCCAAAACCTTCGTAAAATCAATGGTTTTGGCTTGAAAGAAGAGGGGAGCTTTAATTAGCGCTGCCCCCTCAGAAGGCCAACATGGGGTCAAAACCGTAGTAAAATCAATGCTTTTGGCTTCAAAGAAGAGGAGAGGGTTTTTTCTGCCTCCCCCCGTCGGGGCCAGAATCCTCGTGAGGGGTATCGTTTTTAGCCCTCCCAGGAGTCAAAAACGACCCCTCTGACCACCCGCGGAACGCCCTCTCCAGGCCCAGGGGGAGGGGGTAGGGGGAGGGGTAAACCCTTCCCCGAAGGGGAAGAAGGGGGTTGAGAACAGAGCGGGCTCTCTAAACCACTCACGCCCAAAGGGCTGGTGGGATTCCAGGACCATAATGGTAAGGACGTCTCAGGCGAAACGCCCAGCCCATCCTTCTGGTCTCGGGGTGCGACAGGGAGGACATATTTAGAAGGAGTGGAGCAGGAGAAGGAGGAGGATACGGGAGGAGGGGAGGAGGGCGCATGCGTACGAACGCCATTTTGGCAGCGTGTTGTTAATTTACATGGCCACATCGTTTTCCCACGTATTCCCTCACGTTCTGCCCCCGCCGTGAGAAGGTCGGGGGCGGTTGCGGTATGCAGTGTCCGGTTCTGGTGGAGCTTCTCTACGTTTTGAGATGGTCCTTGCCATCGAGGAGTCGAGGGCAGGTAAAACGAAGGCGGCTTTGCTGGCAGCGAACCCAGCGGCAGGTTGGCGGAATCCAGCGAGGTTGAATATTAATGCGCCGAGTCTAGTTCCAAAGAGCATCGTCGTCACTTCGTCCTATCGCTCCTCTCACATGTCTGAGAAGGCCCGTCACTTGTCACTCCCCCCGGGCTCGATGCCGATAGGAGGAAGCGCGGGAGAAATTGGAGGAGAGTAATGATGGAGTGGATGAGAATGAAGATGCTGAGAACGAGTGGGAGGATGTCGAGATTGGGGAAGAGGAGCAGGAGGAGGAGGAGGAAGAGGAGGAGGAACGCTGATGATCAAGATGATGATGGTACTGCTGCTAATGATGGTGATGATGGTGATTGTGATGAGGATGATGGCGATGATGAGGGCGGTGAGGATGTCAAGATGACGACGATGCCTACGACGACGAGGAGGAGAAGGATGAGGATAATGTTGATGATGATGATGATGATGATGATGATGCTGATGAGGATGAGGATGAAGATGATGAGGATTATGTTGGTGAGGATGCTGCTCATGATGATGATGATGATGATGATGATGATGATGATGATGATGCTGATGCTGGTGCTGGTGATGCTGATGAAGATGATCATGATGGTGCTGCTGATGATGATGCTGACGGTGATGATGAGGATGATGATGATAGTGGTAGTGGTGATGATGATGATGCTGCTGATGATGATGATGATGGTGATGATGATGGTAATGATGATGATGATGATGATGATGATGATGATGATGATGATGATGATGATGATGATGATGATGATGATGATGATGATGATGATGATGATGATGATGATGATGATGATGCTGATGCTGATGCTGATGCTGATGCTGATGCTGATGCTGATGCTGATGCTGCTGATGATTGTGGTGGTGGTGGTGATACAATGATGGTTACTCGAATGGTGCGGATGCATATTATAACAACGATGGTGCCGTTGAAGCTGAGATGATGCTTAGGAGAAGAAGGAGGAGGAGGAGGAGGAGGAGGAGGAGGAGGGGAGGGATAACGCTGAGGAGGAGGGTGATGAGGAAAGGAATAATGAGAAATGGAAGCAGGATGGGGTGGATGTGGAGGATGCGTAGGAGGAGTAGGAGGAGTAGGAGGAGGAGGAGGAGGAGGAGTAGGAGGAGGAGGAGGAGGAGGAGGAGGAGGAGGAGGAGCCAAGGGAGGGTCCGGCTCAGCCTGGCGCCAGGACGCCGAGCCGGCCAGGCAGTCCAACAATCAGCCCGACCCCAACCGCTGGAAGCTGTGGCTGAGCCACGGGGCCAAGCTGGCCAGGGACCCTTCGGTCGCGCCTGGGCCGGGAACTAGGGTGCTGGGCAAGCAGATGGACAAGGTTTGCAGGACCTTCATCCACACCATTTGGTTAGCCGATGGGGGTTCGGGGTCACCGCACAGTTTTGGGACTTGAGTCGTTCTCCGAGGATGTCTCGAGCGATTGGGGCCCCGACTTTCCCCGCCTGCCTCAGGGGGGGTCGGGCATGGACCCAAGAAGTCCGCGCGGACCTCCCACAGTTGTGTAGGTGTCGTTTCCCTTCAGCGTGGGCTTTGCAGGATCTTCCCTGCCTGCCTTGCCGTGCTGCTGCTCCTGCCGCTGCTTCATCCCCTCGTCCTCCTCGATTCCCTCCTGCCTCCAGCTCGTCCTTCCTCCTCCCCCCACCTCCTCCTTCCCCCTCAAGCCTCCCCTCTTACATGCTCGTCCTGCTCCTCTGCTTCCTCATCTTATTCCTCCTCTCCCCCCGTCCTCAGACAGCCAGGCCCTTCCCTTTCGCGACTGCCATGTCAGCGAGGTGGTGGTCAGCGCTGGTTACCGAGAAGCATGAATACGTCTTAAGATGAATCTGCGCGCGCCCAAGCGTCGACGTGTGGTTGACCACCCATCGGATAACCTACAGTAGACCATGGTGAAGGGGCGCCAGATCTGGTATTCGAGTGCGCTGTTCGCAGAGTTTCCATTTATCACTATTGATTGCAAGCGCGTGGCTGGAATGACCAACTGATGGTTTTCTGAACCGCCCTAGTTCAGAGCCACTGTTCGCATGCGTTTCCTGGATCCTGGACAGTTGGTGGAGGCTGGCCTGGGGTGGCGCTCGCGCGGTCCGCTTCCCATCGCAGTGCTTGGCACATCCGTAGCGGTCGTCATGACCTTGATTGGCTGAGGCAACAGAAAAGAACATATGGATTCAAGTTGGCCACTGGCCAAGGTGAGGGTCACATCTTCCTCTTCCACCTCCTTTGTTTCATCCATCCTTCCGAAGGACTCCCTACGACGTAGCCGCGAGCGATGCGGTACTGGTGAACATTCCGGCGTACATCTTCGACGACGACGTGAGACTCCATCGGCGCCTCATTCGCATGCGCATTCTTCAGCGACCTTTGATGTCGTGAAAGCTCACGACGGCCAGTTGTGAGGAGTTGATAACAGGCCTGCGGAGGCCTATTTCAGGTCTCAGGGCAAACGCAAAGCGAAGCACAACAAGAAAGCTGTCCCGGGGATGGTGTCGACAGCTCGGGGGGGCCTCTAGAACAAATCACGACGTCGGAGTTCTGGACCTGCTCCCTAATCTCTCTTTTCCTGTCCCCCTCGTGCTCAGTCGAAGTACATGTCCTCTGGAGGAGAGGGGCAGAAGGGGGTAGAAGGAGAAGGGAGGATGAGAGGAGGTTGGATGAGGGGCGCAGGTGAGACATGGTGCGCCAGCGAATCATGGGAGCCTGTAGGAACCCAAGCGGTCACCTGACAGCGTTCCAGGACAAGGCAGTCATCTGGAGGATACCGGTATGTAAGATCCCCTCTCAGTGCAAGCACTGCCTGCTATGAGAAAGTACATGAAGACATTCGCATGCGCGCCTGTTTGTCAGAGTGAGGGGGGCCCGTACGGTCTTACATGATCCCTGCGCGCGCGTGGCTGGAGTAGGGACGGCGATGCTGGAGAGCGCGCCGGGAGGGCACATTGGGAGGGCGCTCTGGGAGGGCTCGGAGGGCGCCGTGGGAGGGCTCTCTGCTGGGGCTTGCTGGGAGGGCGCGCTGGGAGAGCGCGCTGGGAGGGCGCGCTGGGAGGGCGCGCTGGGAGGGCGCGCTGGGGAGGCGGGCTGCCTGAGAGGAAAACGCCTGATCGTAGCTCCGCTTTCCGCTTCCCTTCCTCTCCCCCCTGGTCCCGCTTACTCTTACTCGCCATTGCTGGGTGCTACGTACATGCCTTGTCATCTGGCGATCAAAACAAGGGTTGCGAGGCAGGGTGCCGCCGAGCTCTGACCTGGGGCATACGTACGGTCTGGTCTTGAATGTTCTGACCTCTCCGCTGGTGCTTTGATGGCGATGTTGGCGTGGGAGTGGAGCGTTTGAGGTACATAAACAAATTCTATGAACCCGCAGTGCGTGCGCACCTGTTGGTACATCTCCCCTCATTCGACGATCCGCACCAGGGTCGTGAGGAAGGATGCCACGGAGCTCCGGTACCTCATGTGCCAGCCGACAGATGGCTTCCGGCAGCTGCCCCTGCACTACCGGGCAACCTTCTACAACATGGCCGCCGGCCCGATCAGCACCCTGGGCCTCCAGAACTACCTGGCACTGCACCTCCGGCGGAATGACTTCCAGTTCCAGCAGGCGCTCTGCCCAGCCTCCTCATTTCGACAGGGAAGGAGCGGCATAAACACAGGCTTCCAGAGGTCCGCGCGGATTTCTTGGATCGGCGTTGGGCTCTCCTTGGCGGCTCCTCTGGCGCCGCCTCTGGCGCGCTCCGCGCGCCAGGGATGGGGGGGTGCATCACCGATCCAAGAAACTTGCGCCGACCTCCGAAAGTTTGTGCTTGTTCCGTTTTTTCTTCCTCTACCCCTGCCCTGCTCCGTCCCCATGTGCGTCGGCCGGGAGACAGGGCTGGCCGTTGTCGGTTTTGCCTCCCAAGCCGCGGCTGAGCGCCATTCGCTCGAATGGCGTCGCCGCGCGCTGTCGAATGTCAGGCGTCGGCTGTCGAATGGCTCGAGCGCCACGCGCTGAGCCAGAGGTCGGCTGCCGAACGGCGGCGCCACGCGGCGCCACGAGCTTGGCGGCGATCTCGAGGATGAGGCCATCTTCGGCCACGCGCAGAGTGGGGTAAGGGGGGAGGGCTTCTCAGAAGCAGCCCTGCTTCTCAGAAGGCTGGGGCCTCACCAATTAGACGTCATGCCAGTGCCTTTGAGAAGCAGCCTCCTTCTAAGAAGTTTTCCCCCCCTCCCCCTACCCCCTTTGTTCACCGAGCGCGTTCCACTACTCGCAGAATTTTCTACTCGCAAGCATCCGGAAACAAAAACATGTGTTCCTGGATGTCATGGTTCGTAGATCCCCTGCGGCGGATTCAGGCCATTTGCGAGTGGCTACTTTGCAAGTCGTGGAACGCGCTCGTCGATTTGTGCGCGCCGCCAGAAGATGAGGGGCCATTTCTCTCTCTGGGCTCTGCCGCTTTCTTCACCGATGCACGGCGGAAGGGTGCTGCGGCTGCTCCACGCCGCCGCCGAGCCCCTCGTGGCTCTCCTCCTCCTCTTCCCTGCGTCGCCCTCTCGTTTCTGTGCGTGGTTCTGCCTGGGGCCCAGGCGGCTGGGCCTCCCTTCGCTGGGGAGGGCGAAGATCTGAACAAGAGTTCGAGTAGGGGATCAACTACATAATTGATTTACCCCAGAAATGATCTTCTCGTCGAATCCATGAGACATGCGCAGAATGTTCGTAGATCTACAAACATTCTACGTCTGATTCGGCGAGAAAATCAGTTTCGGGGGAAATCAATTCTGTAGACGATCCCGTACTCGAAGAGTTGCCCCTCGGCTTTCAGGGTGAGAGCCATCAGCAAGACGGCACCAGATGACCGCCTGAGTGCCGACGTCGACCTCCCACCCTCACCCCCGTATAGGATGCAACTCCTGGGACTTCGTGGGCCCCGAAAATGACAGGACAGCTTTCTTCACGTTTTCAAAGAGCGAGCTGTTCCTGGAACGTGAAAATGGTGAGACAACGGCCCCCTGAAACGGGATCAAAAGCAGCCTCGGGATCGGAACCGGAACCGGAACCGGAAACGAAAAGGCGACGGACCGGGAACAAACACGGCGCCAGAACCGGCACACGAATTGCAAAATTGAGCCGGTAGACAATGCTTTGTCGCTTCCAGGGCCCCTCAAGTCTTGGGAGGTTAGATTCAGCATCGGCGCTGGTATATCGATGGTCGTAAGCCGGGCCAATCCAGCATAATCCCGTTTAATCTGGTCCAGTCCCGCTTAATCTTTTTTATTCAGTCGCCCTAGTTAATCAGGCTCACGGGCCCTCATTCGTTTTGGCGGAGGCTTCGAGGGTGCTTTCTGACCGCCTCC